CCCGCCCCCACCCCCGCCAGGTGGGCGCCCCCCCCCCCCGGCGCTTGCACTGTCATGTTGCATGGACTTTCTGCATGGGTGGGTGGAGGGCTTGGGTGCTTTGGGGGAGGGGAAATCGAAGGCCGGAGGGGGAGAGGCGATGTGCGGGACGCGAGGGGGAAGGGAGCATTGTTTGGATGTGCGTGTGTGCAGGGCTGGCGGGGCTGATGAGCAGCCAGGGGGATCTGGTTGAGGTGATAAAAGAGTACGGCGAAGCAGGCAGCAGAAGTGCGGGCACTTGGGGCTTGGTGGCCGCCTCGTTTATCTCGCGAAGGTCAATGTTTGATTTTGCTTCAGATGCGGGAGAGGGAGAAAGATCGGAAGCGCCTGCACAATGGGCGGGCAGGGTGAGGGAAACTCTTTCAGAAAGTGATCTGCCGGGGGGGGGGAGGATTTTCCTGCCGATCCTCCTTTCCTTGGGATGATTTATGCGAGAACAAAGCAAATCCATTCGGTGTAACTGCGTGTCTGGAGACAGGCGGAAAGCGGGTTGGGTGACCCACTGACTCTCTTCTCTCTGTATGTGTGTTTTTCTGTCTTCGATCTAAATTGAGAGAGAAGGTTACCGCGAAAGTGCAGCTTTTGTTTTATCTCCGCCACTCCCTATTGTGTTTAAATTAGAGATTTAGACTTGTACTACAGCCATATAAAATGATACATTTATCATTTCAACCTTCCTGTGAGATCTCTTTCCTTAACTGCTTTTTGGACATTTGGTTTTTGGCTTCAGTTTCTCTCTCCAAAATGTGTTGTCACATTTCTGTAACAGTCTCTGTAATTAGCCCTTTGTGCATCTGTGTGTGTAAATTAACTGGGATTTGTTACTTGGTTATAAAATGAAGCTGTATAATTCTCACAGTTATTTCGCTGTACTTGAGCCTCAGGAGTTTAAATGATGTGAGGTTATGAGTAGTGCTTAAATATACTAAGATGCTAGAGGAAAACAGCAAAATATTTAGTTTGGGTTCAACTAAATTTGCACCATTTCTTTAAACATCAGTGGTATAACAACTTCCTCTGCCTTCTCCAGATGCTGAGTTCATTGTGCAGCAA